AGTGTTAGGGCCCAGCTTAACTCAAAGTGCACGCCGCCCTAAAGAGGCGTTCCCACCCGAGACAACCGATCCACCCACGCAGAGTGCGTGTGACGCCGCGCCCAGCTGCCAGCCAAGCGAAAGACTAACACGCCAACTGCGTAACTCACCCAGAAATTAAGTCGTGCCTTACGTGTGACCACCATCTAATTGGTCCAACCTTGTACATACGCTTTCGCTTGATCTAAATTATGCTGTACTAGGTTAGCTCGAAGACTTCTGCTTCCTGCGCACCTATCGTGTACTTCCTTGGAGGTTCACATAAGGCGTAATTAGACGGCGGTATCGCAGCTTTGCCCACATTTACAACAGGAAGCTGTGCTAGTACAATTAGTCGATGGATAGAATCTGACAAACTCATCTGCTGTATCATCATCATCATCATCATCATCATCATCATCATCATCATCATCATCATTCATCATCATCATCATCATCATCATCATCATCATCATCATCATCATCATCTTTCATCATCATCATCATCATCATCATCATCATCATCATCATCATCATCATCAAGCTCGGGCACTGCTGGTATTGTTGCCACAAACCCAGATGTCGCCGTCCAATTACGCCCTGTTCGAATCCCCAAAGGAGAACTCAACAGCAAGAGCGCAAGAACGGAAGGGCCTTTACGTACTTAGTACAGGGTATTTAAGGGAAGCAGAGCATGTACAAACAGGTGCAATCGGACAAATCAGACTGCATCCTTAAGGTGGTAACATGCCGACTGGAGGTTCGGCTCATCCAAGTGGTAGGACAGAGCAGTAATCCCGCCCGCTGGTAGCTTGTGTGATGTCATCACGGGCGCGGCCGATGCCGATCGATAGTGCACCGTGTGACGAGTCATCAGGACAACACGATAACGAGCCCGTTAGGCCTGCTCCTAACAGGTTCAATAACAATTGGAATCGATAAGTGTCTGCGTATGGTTTTTACGGAGCAATAGAATTGCACCAATCGATGTCGGTAGAATTTGCCACAAAGGCAAATACACCGACACATTTGCTGATTATATTGGAGTTTGTTGTTCCAGACACGACATTGCCAAATCCAACTAAGTATTGACACTTGTTATTCACCGATTGCTAACGGGACTCATTCTGCCTTGGGTCTCATTCTTGGGTCCGACCACAAGGTTAGTATTCTAGACCGACAGTATTGCTGGCAAAGACTAGGGGCGGAGCTTAAATGGCCATTTCTGGCTTAGTAGCTGTCGTCAGTCAGCCATATCCGCCAACCCCAACTGTTGCACAACCCGAGGCTCGAACGCACGACTTTTTTAGGAGCAGACGTCTAACGTTCTAACCAAGATCTCGTTGTCTTACCTTTTGAGGTGGGGAGATATTGACACTCGTTGATGAACGTTCATCAATCATCGCTAACGGAACTCACTCGGCCCGCTCTGCCTTGGGCCTCATCCTCCGGCCCTGACTGCGGTAAAACATAGCGGCGAGTAGTCTAGACACCACAGTGATTTTAATACTGAAGTATGAGATCAGTGGGTGGTAAGGACGAAAAATTAAAAATACTTGGACTAAGTTGACAGATGTGAAAAATTCAACT